TAAGACGCGACGAGCTCCCGCTCACCTGACTGCTGCTTGGGGTTGAGCTCGGGGTATATCTCGGCAGTGACACGTCCATCAATGGGCGTATCGGTTGCGTCTCCAAACTGCGCAGGGAGGACGCTGATTCGGTTGGTATCCACACTTCCAGTTTATGTGTTCTTGAGCCGCGCGGTCTAAGTTGAATCGTCCCTTCGACTTGGGAGCCTCATCCTCCTCCATATGTGATTCCGGCCTCGAGCCTGCAACAGCTCGCTCCGTAGTCCTGGTTCCCTTTTCCTTTTGCCTGTCGAGCTCTCGTTGTCGCCGCTGGATCTTTTCAAGTTCCGAATTCAACTGCTCGCAATTCGCCGCGTTCTCTCGCACCCTCTGTTCTTGCTGGTACTCTGCTCTCAACATACCAAGGTCACGCCGCGCCTGGTCCCTCTCAAGGATCGCCTGGTCTCTCTCCAGATTCACTTGATTTCTCTCGAGTTTTGCGCTATCCCGGTCAAGAATCGCTTTATTCTTCTCACTCTGCGCCCTCTCAAGTTCCCTCTTCAGGTTGCTGAGGTCAGGATACGTTTCTTCCGTTTGCTGTGCTCGCGTCATAGAAGGTGGCTTGCTTGTGGATTGGCCCGCGGATCTTGCCGATGATCTGGTCGGTAATGGGAACTCTTTCGCGTCGTACTCAGTGTTGTTGCTCAAGCCAGGATTCCTTGCCAAGTCGAATCCTCTCAACCCTCCATCCACATTCCATGACAGCCACCTGGTCTGTTCTTGATTGGATATGCCTTCTGTGGTGTAGCCGACCATCAAGACAGCCTCTGTCGCGGACTCCCTGCATTCACCTTGCTCCTCTAATTGCAGGATGGCGTTCAACATCACTGCCATCCTCTCGTCCACTTGGGTGTATTCCAGGTCCCTCAAGCGTCTGTACAATTCATCGAGGTAGGCCTCTTTAGCGCCGCAGGCATGGATTTCCAAAATCGATCTGCCAATTTTACGATTTCTAGATGATCTCGCGCACTAACCAACTTGAGTATTACCGTACCAACCAACTTGAGTATAACCGTACCAACCAACTTGAGTATTACCGTACCAACCAACTTGAGTATTAACGTACCAACTTGAGTACTTGAGAAATATCTCTTCAGAATGTTGCTGATCGTAAACTTTGTTCAAGACCTTCTTTTCTCTTTCCAATAAGTGTGTCTGGGCCGTCAACTCGATTTAACAAATCAATCTGAGGGGAGAATCCACTTTTTAAACTAAGGTGTTATGTTCCTAACCTAACCTCCTTTATTGTAGTTAAAACCTTATCCCTCCATTTGCTTTACTAAAATAATTCAGTTGGAAGTTTTTTTAAGAGCATGCAGATTCATTTAATGTTTTAGCACCGTCACTCTTCAAATTTTAATTGTCATGCCAATTACGTTAAAATCCATCTACCTGCTTCGAGATCCCCATGTACCCTTACTCGAGATCCCCAAGTACCCCCAACTCAAGACCTCCGTTGTCCACCCGTAGCTCAGGCGATACTCAAGTAGTATTTCTTGTGTAGCTGTACCATTATCTCCGTTTCTGCGAAGACCACGTGTAGGATGGCATATAACTCCCTTGGGCTCAACTTGCCCCTGTTTGGGTCATAAACAGGCATCGAGACCTCCACTATCCCTCTTTCAATCATGAAGTCTCTCAGCCTCGTTAGTGCTAACATCACGTGCTCAGGATATATCGTATTCCCTTCATTGACCCTCGTCACTAGAAAGCACAGGCACTTGCCTGGGACTTGTGCCATTGAAGGGGGAAGCGCAACCATTCCTCCCAGCCCCGGTCTCTGTCTGAATAGAAACTCCACGTTCTGGTATTCTCTCTTGAAGTCGGCCTCCAGTCTCGATTTGAAGCTCATGTCCGCCGTTATCGCGCTAGTCCTGTCTGACAGAATGAAGTCGCTGTCCATTATCAGGATGTTCTCCGAGTATTCATTGGGTATTTCAAATTTCGTTTTGAAATTTCGTCCTATGGTAGGCTCGGCCTCTTTCTCGCCCAGTTCTAGCCCGTTGGTTTCTCTTACTTCCCTGAGTTTCTTTATCATCAAATTTTCGGTGTGGGTAAGTCCTACACCAACTCCCCGGACAAAAAAAAATATCAATGTCCCCGTCGATGATGCTGGGTCTAAAATATCTGGTTGTATTTCGAGCGGCTTGTCGGTTGCCATCCAACAGAAGAGGGGATCTTCCGTTTTCACGTGTTGTTCTGCTGAGCAATATGTGACCTCTTCATCAATTCTTTTGTCAGGTCCCCCACGAAGGCTTTGCCGTTGTCCGACTGAAATGTCATGGGACAACCATACCGTGATATCCAATGTGTTATCAGGTGGTCACAAGTCTCTTCTGCCGAGGCTGTCTGACACGGCAACGCTTCTGCCAATTTTGTGAAAGGATCTATTATGACCAGTATCTGGTTTTATCCCGATTCTGTCATACAGATCTTCTGATGGACTATCTGCACAACCTCGTTAAATTCCGAGCTTTCAACGGATTTGAGTGGGAACTTCATCTTCCGTGGATCTTTCATTTGCAAGCATGCCAGGCATGCATTCACCCATCTCTCTCTTGTTTTCTCTTGCATGCCACCACCCCATCAGCTGTGTGATAGAGTATATCCTTTTTGTCTTTGTAGAACTGGCTTAAAATCTTGTAGCTGTCTTCTTCTAGGTCCCCTTCTCTTTGGACCCTGTCCGGATCCATGTTGAGAGGTTACTTGCCATCTTGTCATTCTTTTGGACCCGGATTAGATCCGACAGCCTATATCTTGCCTTGACGTGCTCTTTCAGTGCTATTATCTGACCATTCATTTCTCCAGGGTTGTGGATGTCATCCTTCAGTTTTACGCATACTATCCTCCTTATGACCTTCATGTCATCTTCTGGCACCAGATTTGTTCTGACATTTGAGTTGCACGATAGCTCCCTAAATGGTTTCCTCGACACTGCAATTTTCTCAAGTTCTTCACCTCCTCGCACTTCCTGCTGATCCAAGTTGTACGTTCCTGAGGAAGGATCCGTCTGTAGCTCCCTGTCGCGGTGTCTCATCTTCTCTTCCGCCAGTATCATGCATAGACTGTCTGGGTCATCGCTGCTCTTCTCCGGATCTTCATCCCACTCTCCGCACTCCCCGGACAATTTTTCTTCTTCAGCATCTTCTTCCACTGTGGGCCACTCCCCGGACTCTTGCTCTAGTCCAAGGTGTTCAGCCTCCTCCTTAAATTCCACTTTCTTCTTCCTAACCCGAGTCCGCTCAAGTATATCATCAGGGATTTTGTCAACCAATGACTGCACGAACGACTTCTTTCCTATCCAATTTTTCGAGCGGCCTGTCGGTTGCCGTCCAACCGAAGAGGGTAACTTCCGTTTTCACGTGTTGTTCTGCTGACACGTTGACCTACTGGATGCTTTGCCCTTCATCTCCTTTGCTCTTGACATCACGCATCCACTCTAGTATTCTCAAGTTTGTGTTCTCCCTCCTCTCTATCTCGCTCTGCTCCAGATCTGTTTCTTGTTATGCTGTGGAGTAGTCTTCCTTCGGGTAGTGTTCGCTGTCGTTGATTATTTGCCATTCATCGTTTGCCACCAATTCGCCCACACTCAGTACCTCGTCGCCCAATTCATTAGGCCGTATCTTGTCAATCAAGAAGTCATCCCCGTACCTATTCTACCTCATGCCTGTCCGTTTACGGTTACCACTCCTGGTTCCTGCTGATATCGGCAACTCTGGTTTCGTCCATTTTGGCACCTCGTCCTGTTCCGGATCGTTCCAGTCTTCTTCCACAAAGGATTCCGCCTCTGAGTCCGCTTCTATCTTTTCATTATCATCCAAACTCAAGTCCTCGTTGCCATCATTTTTCTCTCTGGTGCCCTTTTCGTTCACCTCGCAAGCTGTTTCCACCAACAGGTACTCGAGTCCCTCCATATTCTGTCGTACGCACCAGTCTTCTGGGGATGGGACATGATATTTCAAGTTTTCAGAATGCGCTGCACGCCCCGTACTCAAGCGGTAAAACCGTCCTTGCTGGTGCACTTCCGTTATCATGAACGGTCCTCTCCATTTCTTACGTAGTTTCTTTGTCCATTTGGGAGGTATAGCATTCTGGAAGACCCAGACGTATTGGCGCACTGCATATGGTTTCGCTTGCAGTATTTTCTCATCGTATTTCTTCCGCTGTCTCATTCGTGCTTGCGCTGTGTTCCTCCTGCAGAGATCGTTTAGTTCCTGCTGTCTCTTAACCACTTCTTTCACATAAGCTTGAGGCGATGTCTTTTTCCCTTTGTATTCTGGGTAAAAGAATGTTAGGCGCATCGCTCTTTCCCTGTCCGTCAACATCTTGAAGGGACCGATTCCTGTTGTTGAGTGTTGCGTACTGTTGTATGCCCCTACCACTTGCGGCAGATATTTGTCCCAGTCTGTCAAATATCTTGAGCAGTATACCCTCAGCTTGTTTAACAATGTTCTATTATGTCTCTCCACTAACCCGTTGGTTTGGGGATGGTAGGTCGTGGAGTGCGCTTGAGCAATATGTGACCTCTTCATCAATTCTTTTGTCAGGTCCCCCACGAAGGCTTTGCCGTTGTCCGACTGAAATGTCATGGGACAACCATACCGTGATATCCAATGTGTTATCAGGTGGCCACAAGTCTTATTGCCGAGGCTGTCTGACACAGCACCGCTTCTGCCAATTTTGTGAAAGGATCTATTATGACCAGTATCTGGTTATATCCCGATTCTGTCATACAGATCTTCTGATGGACTATCTGCACAACCTCGTTAAATTCCGAGCTTTCAACGGACTTGAGTGGGAACTTCATCTTCCGTGGGTCTTTCATTTGCAAGCATGCCAGGCATGCATTCACCCATCTCTCTCTTGTTTTCTCTTGCATGCCACCACCCCATCAGCTGTGTGATAGAGTATATCCTTTTTGTCTTTGTAGAACTGGCTTAAAATCTTGTAGCTGTCTTCTTCTAGGTCCCCTTCTCTTTGGACCCTGTCCGGATCCATGTTGAGAGGTTACTTGTCATCTTGTCAATCTTTTGGACCCGTATTAGATCCGACAGCCTATATCTTGCCTTGACGTGCTCTTTCAGTGCTATTATCTGACCATTCATTTCTCCAGGGTTGTGGATGTCATCCTTCAGCTTTACGCATACTATCCTCCTTATGACCTTCATGTCATCTTCTGGCACCAGATTTGTTCTGACATTTGAGTTGCACGATAGCTCCCTAAACGGTTTCCTCGACACTGCAATTTTCTCAAGTTCTTCACCTCCTCGCACTTCCTGCTGATCCAAGTTGTACGTTCCTGAGGAAGGATCCGTCTGTAGCTCTCTGTCGCGGTGTCTCATCTTCTCTTCCGCCAGTATCATGCATAGACTGTCTGGGTCATCGCTGCTCTTCTGCGAACCTTCATCCCACTCTTCGCACTCCCCGGACAATTTTTCTTCTTCAGCATCTTCTTCCACTGTGGGCCACTCCCCGGACTCTTGCTCTAGTCCAAGGCGTTCAGCCTCCTCCTTAAATTCCACTTTCTTCTTCCTAACCCGAGTCCGCTCAAGTATGTCATCAGGGATTTTGTCAACCAATGACTGCACGAACGACTTCTTTCCTATCCAATTTTTGGAGCGGCCTGTCGGTTGCCGTCCAACCGAAGAGGGTAACTTCCGTTTTCATGTGTTGTTCTGCTGACACGTTGACCTGCTGGATGCTTTGCCCTTCATCTCCTTTGCTCTTGACATCACGCATCCACTCTAGTATTCTCAAGTTTGTGTTCTCCCTCCTCTCTATCTCGCTCTGCTCCAGATCTGTTTCTTGTTATGCTGTGGAGTAGTCTTCCTTCGGGTAGTGTTCGCTGTCGTTGATTATTTGCCATTCATCGTTTGCCACCAATTCGCCCACACTCAGTACCTCGTCGCCCAATTCATTAGGCCGTATCTTGTCAATCAAGAAGTCATCCCCGTACCTATTCTACCTCATGCCTGTCCGTTTACGGTTACCACTCCTGGTTCCTGCTGATATCGGCAACTCTGGTTCCGTCCATTTTGGCACCTCGTCCTGTTCCGGATCGTTCCAGTCTTCTTCCACAAAGGATTCCGCCTCTGAGTCCGCTTCTATCTTTTCATTATCATCCAAACTCAAGTCCTCGTTGCCATCATTTTTCTCTCTGGTGCCCTTTTCGTTCACCTCGCAAGCTGGTTCCACCAACAGGTACTGGAGTCCCTCCATATTCTGTCGTACGCACCAGTCTTCTGGGGATGGGACATGAGATTTCAAGTTTTCAGAATGCGCTGCACGCCCCGTACTCAAGCGGTAAAACCGTCCTTGCTGGTGCACTTCCGTTATCTTCATTTCTTACGTAGTTTCTTTGTCCATTTGGGAGGTATAGCATTCTGGAAGACCCAGACGTATTGGCGCACTGCATATGGTTTCGCTTGCAGTATTTTCTCATCGTATTTCTTCCGCTGTCTCATTTGTGCTTGCGATGTGTTCCTCCTGCAGAGATCGTTTAGTTCCTGCTGTCTCTTAACCACTTCTTTCACACAAGCTTGAGGCGATGTCTTTTTCCCTTTGTATTCTGGGTAAAAGAATGTTAGGCGCATCGCTCTTTCCCTGTCCGTCAACATCTTGAAGGGACCGATTCCTGTTGTTGAGTGTTGCGTACTGTTGTATGCCCCTACCACTTGCGGCAGATATTTGTCCCAGTCAGTCAAATATCTTGAGCAGTATACCCTCAGCTTGTTTAACAATGTTCTATTATGTCTCTCCACTAACCCGTTGGTTTGGGGATGGTAGGTCGTGGAGTGCGCTTGAGCAATATGTGACCTCTTCATCAATTCTTTTGTCAGGTCCCCCACGAAGGCTTTGCCGTTGTCCGACTGAAATGTCATGGGACAACCATACCGTGATATCCAATGTGTTATCAGGTGGTCACAAGTCTCTTCTGCCGAGGCTGTCTGACACGGCAACGCTTCTGCCAATTTTGTGAAAGGATCTATTATGACCAGTATCTGGTTTTATCCCGATTCTGTCATACAGATCTTCTGATGGACTATCTGCACAACCTCGTTAAATTCCGAGCTTTCAACGGATTTGAGTGGGAACTTCATCTTCCGTGGATCTTTCATTTGCAAGCATGCCAGGCATGCATTCACCCATCTCTCTCTTGTTTTCTCTTGCATGCCACCACCCCATCAGCTGTGTGATAGAGTATATCCTTTTTGTCTTTGTAGAACTGGCTTAAAATCTTGTAGCTGTCTTCTTCTAGGTCCCCTTCTCTTTGGACCCTGTCCGGATCCATGTTGAGAGGTTACTTGCCATCTTGTCATTCTTTTGGACCCGTATTAGATCCGACAGCCTATATCTTGCCTTGACGTGCTCTTTCAGTGCTATTATCTGACCATTCATTTCTCCAGGGTTGTGGATGTCATCCTTCAGCTTTACGCATACTATCCTCCTTATGACCTTCATGTCATCTTCTGGCACCAGATTTGTTCTGACATTTGAGTTGCACGATAGCTCCCTAAATGGTTTCCTCGACACAGCAATTTTCTCAAGTTCTTCACCTCCTCGCACTTCCTGCTGATCCAAGTTGTACGTTCCTGAGGAAGGATCCGTCTGTAGCTCCCTGTCGCGGTGTCTCATCTTCTCTTCCGCCAGTATCATGCATAGACTGTCTGGGTCATCGCTGCTCTTCTCCGAATCTTCATCCCACTCTCCGCACTCCCCGGACAATTTTTCTTCTTCAGCATCTTCTTCCACTGTGGGCCACTCCCCGGACTCTTGTTCTAGTCCAAGGTGTTCAGCCTCCTCCTTAAATGCCACTTTCTTCTTCCCAGCCCGAGTCCGCTCAAGTATGTCATCAGTGATTTTGTCAACCAATGACTGCACGAACGACTTCTTTCCCGTCCAATTTTTCTTTTAAGGCTTCCTCGCCACCACCAGTTTCATTCCTTCTCAGTATCGTGACTTCCGGTTCCTCCTTACCCTTTTCTTTGATCACGGGTTTATCGTCTGAGGGTTTCTCGAGTAATCTCATCAAGTCTTCGTCTATCTGTGCATCTCCCGTTTCTAACTGGTTGAGATCATAGCCTTTTGGCTTGAGCGTCTCCCTCACAATTTTTGACTTGAGCATTATCCCTATCGGTATCCCCCGGGTCCTCTTCAAGATTATTTTCTCTGGAGGCTCCTTTGGTCGTTCGGGGTGATCTTCTATCGGTTTGCCTGACTTGTCGAGCCATCTCGTGAGTGGAAGACTATCATACGTTACCTTATCCATGAAGGAGAAGCCATCTTTGATTTCTGGCCTGTCCGCCTCCCTTTGTTCTTGTATCTCGTAGAACTCCGTCTTCTTACTCAAGCTATCGTCATTTTGATGTTTGTCTCTTGTTCTATGCTCAATTATCATGTCGTATCCGTCCAGGCGAACTATCCACCTCCCAATGTAGCTCTGGTCCATTGAGTACGTCTTCAGCCAGCTGAGTGCCCTGTCGTCGACTCGCAGCTTGTATGGCTCACTGCCTAGGTATGCTCTATATTTCTCGACAAAGGTAACCACCGCGAACATCTCTGCTTTCGGCGCCCCGTACTTCATTTCCGTATCACTCAAGAGTTTACTCCCGTACGCTATTGGTCTCAAGACTGTCTTCCAGTTCCATTCCTGTTCTTGATGGAGAATGCCAGAAATCGCGACTACCGACGCATCCGTGTCCAGCACGTACATCTCTTTTTCGTTGGCATCCCTAGCACCGGTGCCTCACACAATTTGGTAATGTACTACGTCGATGACGTGGTAATAGCGACGCCTACAATGGAAGACCACATCTCGCACTTTGACGGTTTGCACTTTAGTCCTGACCTCTTCATGCATGCAAACACCTCGTCTAGTCCCTCGATGTGGTCTTTCATTGTAGGCATCGCTATTACCACGTCATCCGCGTAGCACATTACCAAATTGTGTGAGGCACCGGTGCTAGGGATGCCAACGAAAAAAGATGTACGTGCTGGACACGGATGCGTCGGTAGTCGCGATTTCTGGCATTCTCCATCAAGAACAGGAATGGAACGGGAAGACAGTCTTGAGACCAATAGCGTACGGGAGTAAAGTCTTGAGTGATACGGAAATGAAGTACGGGGCGCCGAAAGCAGAGATGTTCGCGGTGGTTACCTTTTTCGAGAAATATAGAGCATACCTAGACAGTGAGCCATTCAAGCTGCGAGTCGACGTCAGGGCACTCAGCTGGCTGAAGACGTACTCAATGGACCACATTACCAAATTGCCGTATTTCTTTGTCACACCTATCAATGCGTGTGCCATCAACCGTTGAAATGAGGCCGTGGCATTGCATAGACCAAATGGTATCCATTTCCATTGAAACAGCCCTAGCTCGCAGGCGAACCCTGTTTTGTCCCTGTCCTGCTTCCTCAGTGGGACTTGCCAAAATGCCGAACCTAAATCAAGAGTCGTAAAAAACTTTGCATCACCTAACTTAGAGAGGCTCTCATCAATTCTAGGTATGGGATAGGCATCCTTCACCGTGACGGAGTTCAGATACCGAAAGTCGCAACAAAACCTCAATTGGTTGCCTTTCTTTTTGGCCATCACTACTCCACACGTCCACGGTGATTTGGATGGTATGGCTCTATCATATCATACTCTAGTAATGTCTCTATCTCTTATCTACATGCATCCGATTTGTGCGGTGTCATGCGCCTCGCCCCCTTCCTGTGCGGCACCGCAGACTCTTCAAGCTCTATTTCATGTTCAACGAAATTACAAAATCCAATGTCTGCCTTATGTCTCGAAAAAACGTCCTCGTTCCGTATTTGCTTGTTATCACTTAATTCATTATAATTTTTCATCCGTAGGCCTACAATTGCCGCATCGTTCGCTTTCAGCCTTACCCTCCTACTCAAGAATACCGGCGCTCTATTCTCATTTGCCATTATCAGATTTACCGGTTTAATTACGTACTTCCTGTCCGGGTTCCGAATCCTGAACTTGGCATTGTTTAGATCAATCGTTACGTCGAAATTCCTGATGAAGTCTCTGCCTAAGATGAACTGGTCAGACTCGTCTAGGTTCTCCACCACAAGAAAGCTCATCCACAGGTTGCGTTCCCCCAGATTTAGGGCTATTATTGGTGTTCTGCCTAGTACCCGCAGCGCCCCTTTGTTTGCAGCTGACAGCCGTATTCTTGAGTCTATCAAGTCATCTTTGTCGAAACCCATTCGCTCCCAAGTCTAGATTGGTATAACATTCAAGACTGCTCCCGTATCAAGTAACCCGCGTAACTTATTCTTTTTGCCACTTATGTCGAGCACGTGTGCTGATACGTCTGCATCCGTCCCGATGTGCATTGTATCCTCTTCTAACATTGCGCAGTGTCCAATCGATCTTACTTTTAATTTTTCTTTGCCCACGTAGATCTGTCCGGCTAGGTCATCATCACATGTTATCATGGTTTTCGTGTAGATGTTTATCCCATCTATATTTAACATCACCTCATGCGGACCATAAGTTTCTGTGTATCTATTCTCCACACGGACTGACTTGCTGTCACCTCTTGTGAGTAGCGCCCTCAAGTCTCTAGAAGTCATCAATGTGCATTTTTGTCTGGTCGCTGGATTCGCTCAAGTGCCTCGTTACTTCATGGCCGCCCACAGTGATTATCGACGTTATCCTGGCTCCGATCTTTGTTATGCCGAAAGGTTTTCCCGTCACCATTTTCAGAGTGTTCCAATTTCCACTCTTTGTCGCTCCCACTACGGCTTCTGGCACTGGCACTGACCAACTTAACGTCTCGTTTAGCTTCTGCTTTTCAATCTCCTGTTTTAATCTTTGTTCTATCTCCTTCGTGGCTAGGTCCTGTTTCACTTTGTTAATAGCCTCCGCAGCTGCTCTCTCAAAATTTATCTCTGGAGACTTCCTGGTCATGGTCTCCTCGGCATCATTGACTTGCGTTACCGCTTTCACCGTCTTCGTCGGTAGTTCCGCATTCGGTGCCTCTGAATTTCTTGTTTCAAACTCGGTTTGTCTGTTCCTCGTGTTCTGCACCGCCGCTAACGCTTACTTGTGTTTCGGATGACTTTGATTTTTTACTGCTTCCCAAAATAATGGACAGTCCATCCTAAAGTTACCCTCTTGATTGCAGAAGAAGCATCTCGCACCAATTTTGATGATCAGGCCACTGTAGAACTCGTGTCCTTCCTTCTGGCTAAAATATCTT